CCCCAAAACCCCGAAACCCCAAAACCCCAAAACCCCCTTTTTATAAATTTGATATTAGTTAAAGGAAATATAATCAATTAGCTAAATACATGATATCTTCATTATTAGGCATTTTTTATCTGCTTTTATTCGTATCAGTTCTCTCTGTGTGAAACCCATAGAAATCAAAGTTACCATTACTATTATTTCCAATTGTTGAAAGTTATGCTACTTAGGGCAATTAAATGCTGCTTTTGCTTACATTAGTTTGATATTTCTCATATTAGGACTTTCGTAGTTTAATCTTAGATTACTTAAAATTCTCTGGATAATACAAGAATAGAGTACCATCTTTGATTTCTAAGTTTTCAATCATTTTATACAAGTTAAAATCGTATAATTTCATCATTTTATCCTTAGTATGCAGTGGCTGCTTAATGAAATAATTCTATTCGTTACCTATTGCTTCAATTTTTAGATTTGTTTTAGATTGCTTAATGCATATTTTATACATATTGAACGAATCCTCTCCATCTTTCAAGATTTTAGAAGTGTTAATAATAACTTTGTACTTCGGCTAGGGCAGAATTTATGAATGAGTCTGAGATCTTACAGTTGAGTATCCTAAATATGAAGACATTCTTGATCGATTTTAACCATCATATATTTGATCTCTATCTATTATCTCAGTTGTCTTAATACTATCCTTGTTAATATCATTTATTGTCCTTATTTAGGATAAATTCATTGAGAATCTGTTTAAGCTTCTAGATTTAGCCATACTTTATTCCTAATCCAAAAATTAATTGATCTAGTAGGTTTTTTGACTGATTCCTTCTCTTAGCTTTTCTTGCATTTTGTGCTCAATATCCCATTTATCAACATTATAAAATGATCTTGTAGATTAAAGCTTTCTTAGAAAGGACTATAAAATGAGATAGATGAAATTTTACTCCATTTTAATCAGTAATTTTCTAAAGTTCTTGCTTTCTTTTGTATTATCTTGACATCTACATATTCAAATAGGATAGATTATTTTTGTTTTCTGAAATTTGCCTTATTTCTGAGGGCTTTTTTATTATTTTCTAGAGCTTTTCTAGCAATTTAGTGTTCTCAACTTTAACCTCAGTTTGCTTTTCTAATTATGTAAAAAGATTATACACTTACAGAACTCCAAATCTTCTCTTTTCTTATTGTAGGATAAAAATTATGGCTTCAAAGGTTCTTTAATCTCCATCACTCTTTCGACCTTAGCTAATCTATCTCTTTCAATTTAGTCAATTTTAAATTTCCATTTCTTATCTAAGAGTTTGCTGCCAATTGGAACTAGGGTATTGCTGCTACTATTCTTCATTTTTATTCAAATAGTTATTTTTTATTTCAGCCAATTCCTTCAAAATATCTCATTTAGGGGTTTTGGGGTTTTGGGGTTTTGGGG